CTGCAACCCACCCAGATGCTCCTTGGAATAAAGGCCTGGGGACCTTCTTCTGAAAACCAGGCACTAAAATACTGCTAGGGCTCAACTACGGGTGACAAGGATGACGTCATCACAAGCTGGGTCAACTCAGGGGCAACTGGTTTCTAATCCTAACTGGTTCACAGTGACCCGGAGGAAAAAGCATCTTCCTCAGGCTTCCTTGAAGATAGGTGGGGCCGTGAGCCTGAGCTCTGGGCAGGAGAAGTCAGTGGGCTTGTGGAGGACATTGGGGTGCAGCTTCCTCTAGAGAGACCGTAAAGGACAGAGACAGCCCTTCCCTCGTTCTCACCGGCAGGGACGCGGCTGCAGTGGTCGGATCTTGAGCAGCCGTCCCACGACCCCAGACAAGCCCAGGAGTGGAGGCCCCAGGCCGGAGAGCAGCAGCAAAGGGTCCTGGGTCCTGACCCGGCAGAATGTGCACAGAACGTTCGAGGTTCTGGAAAAGCTCTGAGATCCAGAGGAATGACGTCCAGCAGGAGGGCGGCGTTTCACGCGCGGACACTCACAGAACCCTCTGGCTTCGCCCCCAGCGACGTGTCCCGAGAAGCCAGGGGCAGATCAGATGGTGGAACCCACCACAGAGCGGACTCTTCTCTCCCCAGTTAAAGAATCTATTTCTACACCAGTGGTTCCTCGCGGTCTCCTGTTACAGATGCATCCGTTTATTAAACACAGTGGCTGACAGAGCGGCGATGACTGACGAGAGCGGCAGGTTAAGCAGTGATCCCTTCCGCTGCTGTGGGTTGCTGTGAACTGGAGCTCACTCAACGAGCACTTCACAGCAACAACATTTATCGGCTTCTTATTTTTAAATGTCTTTCTTTTTTGGCCCAGTGCTTGGTGCTTTGTGCAGACACATCACGTTGTACCCTGACTTTTGCACATTTGGCAAGCACACTGCTTATTCTAGAAAGCTATGCTTTGTCCCAGTAATTGTCTCCATGTCATAGCTTCCCAAGTCATCAGGTGGCCTCACACAGCTTGACCCTGAACCTGCCCCCTTTTCCCCCAGGAGGAAGTAGACAGTGTTCCGATGGGCACTGGGCTCTCTCATCTCGTAGGAGCTGCTCAAAGCACGGGGCTTGGTGGTGGGCCCTCATTCAGCTCAGGAACCGCGGAGACGGGAGGAGGTCTTCTAAGCACAGAGGTGGGACCCCAGTCTCCCTTCTGCAGCAGGCAGGCTTTCTAGAGGTGAAGCTGGCCCTCAGGATCATGCTGTGTCCACAGGGGGACCTGGGAAAGCAGGGACAGGGCATGGGTCACATCACTGGAAGGTCAGTAGCACAGAGAGCCTGGCTGCAGAGCCTGGAGGCTGAGGTGACATGCCTTCTTGGGGACAGTGGTCCAAGAGGCTCCCAGGGACTGGGCTCCAGATTCCATTGGGGGGAAATGATGGGCCATCATGTGTTAGGACAGGATGCGTGAGGCATGGGTGAGGGGCAGGAGGTGGTGACCACTCCCAGGGGGTCCTTGGTCACTTCTCCAAAAGCAGAGAGTTCATATAGGGGGTGGGGATGGAGATAAGGTCACTGAGCTCAGGTTGGTGGGTGGGCACCACCTGGTGCCCAGTCCTGGCACAGTGCCCTTCCTGCTTCCCCCAGTGGCCTCCGGGGCTCTGTCCACACCCACAGCAGGGTCCAAAACTGGAGGACTAACACTTAGAAATGCTACCCTTGCCACGTGGCTTTTCAGTTACATGTGACAAGGTCTGCTGTTTGCCTGGACCTGCCCGTGCCCGACTCTCCCAGGGCTGAGATGTGCTTACCTGGGCGCTACCTCTCAAGCGTGGACCCAGAGGTGGGGTAACCCCAGCCGTCAGAGCATTGAAAGTGCCCCAGGCTCTAACGTGAGAGCCTCTTGGCTTCCTCACAAGCCAGTAAGCACACCCCCTCTCTGCCCCCTGACCAGGACGCCTGCGCCCCAGTCAACTGCCCACCTCTTCCTTACGCAGAACCGCTGGGACATCTGCCAACCCTGTATGTCCATTGAGAGCCCTGGATCGCAAGGCCAGCGATTTCTGGGGCTGGCCTCCAAACCTGAGGCCCTTCGCCTCTCTGAGCCTCAGTTGCCCGGTGTCTGTTCTGAACCGCTTTGCGGTCATTGGCCTTTTGGAGAATTTATGCAAGTCTTTTTTTCAGGGAAATATCTGAGGTCAATAACGCAGAAGTTGTGAGGGTGTCAGGGGGTTCAGGTTGGTGACCCCATAAGTTAAGCCTTTTGCCCTCTGGAAAGCTAGCGTTGTGACGTGCCTGTTGACGGTGGTTCAGATCCACCAGCCCCCTCACGTGGACGGTGTGGCCGCCTCTGCTGCACAGTGGCCGTGAATGAGGACGGGCTCGTGGGCACGGGCGTGGGCAGGGCGGGCTTGCTGCTGTTTGCTGCGCTTGGCCCTCCTCTCTCTGTGTCTCTTCCTCTGTCTCTATCTCTCCCTGCTCTGTCGTGGTAACAGTTCCCGTGCCACAGCACCCACCCACATAGCTCCCGTGTTTACAGTTCAGGGTGCTGCTGTTGTTGTTGTTGTTGTGTGCCATTGACTTGGAACGCAAAGCTGACCCTCCAGGGAGTTTTCTGAGGCTGTAGACCACACGGGAGGAGATTATTCTTTTTTTTTAATTCTTTGGGTTTTGTTTGGGGTTTTTTGGTTATTATTTTGTGTGTGTGTACCATCAAATCGGATCTGACTGGTACAGGAGGGGATTGCCCCTCCTTTCCAGCAAAGTATCTGATGGATTCGAACCGCACCCCTCTGGGATTGTAGTGCAGCTTCTTGCCACCAGGCCACCAGAGCTCTCTTACTCATCCTGCTTCCAAGGAGCAGCTGGTGGGCTTGAACCATGAGTCTTTGGGTTGGCAGTGCATTTCTTGACCACTAAGCCACCATAGCAGGCTAATTTTTATTAGCTTCACTTTACACAGAGAGGTCAAGTTCTAAACCCCAGGTCATTGTCTATGGCTGAAGGAGCTGTGGGAGAACTGAGGGGTCTCCTGAGTATGTGGGAGCACGTGTGCACCCACACTTACACACACACACACACCCTCCTTCTCTCCACCACACACACA